CTATGTGCCAAACAATGTGTGTAGACTATAATCTATCTCTGTGCCAAATTTCATCCACATCCGTTCAGCCGTTCTGGCGTGATTGAGTAACAAACATCCATCCAAACATCTAAACTTTCAGTTTTCACATTAATAATATTAGTAAGATTTGTGACAGTGCTGTAAAGACTTTTTCGTTCATGAAACGGTACGTACTAAATATTGTTATTTAACCATTTATTCGTCCATAACATCACTAGAACAATAATTTGATTTGATTCAATGCAAGGGGTCGATTATCATCAAAATCTACATTTTTATAACATTTTTTTTATAAGACATAGATAAAATAATAGATATAAAAAGATCAAAATGCATTTAAAAATGAATAGAAATACAGATAGCTTTAACCTTCTATCGAGTCGTCTGGCCGGGGTTGTCGGCCTGCGCTTCAAAATAGCGCCGCTGGCTGCGCGCGCGCATACCTCTCTCTAATGCAAATAAAATAATTCAAACCTAAACGTTAGCTAGTATGTATAAATAGCTAGGAAGCACCGTAGTCAATAAATATATACACTGGGTGCGAGAAAACTGAAACATTTAAGAGATTTATCTGATCTTTTTACCGTGGTTTTTCTTTTCACATTTAATATGTACGTAACAAAATCGTACACCCTGCTCTTATAATCCTATTTTTATGACCTCGTAGTTCGACTGGACTTAGTTTTCGCTTATAAGGTTATATTTATAGGGTTTCATAGAAACCTTGAATAAAATTATTTAATTAAATTAAATATTTGTAAATTATGTAAATATTATTGAAGGAAAATAGATGTTTGTCTGCAACAAACTGTCCGTTGGGCGATCCGTCAAGGGAAGTTGGCGCCCCGCCAGCTCTGTAAGGTCGATAGACGATATACGATGGAAGAAATAAACGATTACGGTTTAACGGCTTTGGTTACATAAATGCACTGGTTTAGATTATGTCGTGTATAACAATGTAATGCCTTGCGGCTGCTAAGGATTAGTTTAGTTTTTTTAGAGATTTAAATAAAAAATTGGAAATCTCTAAAAATCATGTTTAAAATAAAAATGGAATATAACATGAAAATATGCTTAATAATATGATTTTAAATAATTCAGACGATAAGTTTAGGTGTTATTTGTAAATGATAAAACAGGTACATAGATTAAATATTCATTAAGTACATTTTATCTCATACAATTAAGCTGAATCAATCGACCAATCTAAAAAGATCGTTCTCGCCTATCCGTCTGTCTATCTGTCCATCAATCCATCCGTACTAATAAATCTGGTAAATTTAAATTAAAAGCCAGAACTATGTCTGATTCTCATTTGGTTGGTTTTAGACAGTTGGAGTTTTCTGTGACTGAATATGCTTATATCGAATAACTGATGCTATTCTTGCTCATTTCAAAGACCTGACTGTTCTCCTGTTACTGGTTATTTTGGTCTGGATTTGGAAACGCATTAAATTTTATCTCTATTTATTTTATCTTTTGAATCGATTTTTATGCACAGACTACATCACGTGCTTTGACTCATTAATTTTGCTGCACTTATGAATTATGGCTAATGATGTACGTCATTGCAATTTGCAATGCAATTGTGTTTTATCATCTATATGGTCTGTATGTACTACATACACACCAGTAATTTAACTATTTTTAACAGAGAGCACGTTTAATTTTTACAAATATCTTAGAATAATTACTTATACCTACTCATAAAGTTATACAAGGTGGAGTAGTATAGTATAACATGTAATCTAAAGAAAACTCTTAAATTAAAAATTATAAAACACCAACATTTATTCATTGAGGCCATTTCATTATGCCATGATATCTCTGTATAGTATTTTAGTAAAAAATCTTGCAGATTCCAGATGACGCTGCAGCATCAGGCTAAGGTTACCATATTATTGCAATGTCATTAAAGTAAATGGATATCAAGTTTCGAATAGATAAGAAAAAAAGCAGTCATGAGGACTGCCGACATAAGTCAAAACTTAAAACAATAAACAAACAGTTGTGATTTTTGATATTCAAATTAATTTTTTGATCTTAATTAAAATTTGTAAATTTGAACTGTTCACATTTATCTGGTTTTGACATTTATCGGCACTCTGAGTGTTAGCGTTAACACGTCATGTGAACATGTCGATGACGACTTACATGAATTTACTCCCCATCCAAACCTGCCTATAGAAATTTTCACTTCAAAAAAATCGGTTCATCCGTTTTGACGCTACGATGCCACGTTAAACTTATAACTCCCTTTTTTGCCGGGGGTTAAAAGTTAGTAATAACTACGACTTTTGAGAGGTCAAAAAAAGATCTTAGTTGATCCTCTGCAACCATGTATGTATGTATCTGCAATTGCTGTAAAGCAATCGGAACGTCGCGTCGGTAACAAACATTCAAAATGATATCGATTTTGTCATGAATAATAAAGCCAAAATGGTTATTTAAACATCAGCGGACTTTCCACGAACAATGAAAAATCGATTCGTTTCCATCCTTGCAAGTTGCATCAATAATTTATTGTTGAAAATTATCGGAATAGATATATAATCAATACCACTTCAAGGCTGACGATTACGTGTTACTTATTTCAGACATTTTACTATTCTATTCTTTATATTTAATTATTCATCAAGAATAATTTTTCTTAATATTTAGGGAAAGGTAGCTAAGATAGTAGCCCATTATCTCACTAAAATTACAGGGAAATTTGTCCTCTGGAAATGGATAGCTAAATCTATTGCAGTGACAGTTTATCTTACCTCATTTGAGGAAAATAAAATCATTTAACTCCCATGTATATGTAATATTTCCCCACTCAATTTGTAGGACAATGTGGCTGTTAAATTATATAAATATTAACTACTTAAGCAACAGTAAAAAATTCAGGAGTCTTCGAGTAATCAGTGAACATACATAAAAAAAGAAAAAAAAAGATTCCGACGAATTGAGAACCTCCTCCTTTTTGGAAGTCGGTTAAAACAATTAGAAAAATACTAACCTATTCCATGTAAATGATTTAAAAATTTATAATTTAATACAACATTTAAGGAACGTTAGCGCTACTTAATAAGCTAAATATCCAATCTCTCTTTTTCTTTCTATTTTATCTTCATATATAAATTTCACTGTTATCGCACAGTACACGAAGTTATCCCAGGAAATTTCCAATAGATAATAGTTGCAACTAGATTAAAAAGAAGATTTAGCGTCTGGCATAAAATTAGCCGTGCCTTGGTGCTCCTACGCCGCGCGGTCGCAAACAGGAAGTCTAGATTGAGTTCTAGACTTACATAGATATGACCTATCCACATCTATCTTTCAATACGAGTAAATATTAACCTTTTGTAAATAACTCCTTGTGACTTTGACTTTCTTATGACTGAAACTGGACCTTGATGTAAACCAACTTTTGCATTTATTTATCGTCTTATGTTAGTTGTCGTATACATACATGAAATTGCTAATGAAATTAATGTCAAAAAGTAAAATAGTTTTTACATATTATATATCAGTAAAATATTGCTTTAATATTAAAATTTAAGGAAAATAAAAAAAATGTAGATATGACTTAGATTATTATTATTATTGTTTTTTTTAATGTTGGCAAAGGCATTTACGCATATCACCTGAGACAGACATACAGGTGGTTATGTGGGACACTAAAACTAATACCCAATAAAGCCTCCTCCGTCTTAATAGGGCGTCGGAGGATCGCTTACGCACTCAACAACGACGCCCCGACGGCAGGTTTACTGAAGCAGACTACAAAAACCATGGGGTTGCTCCATCGGTCCACTCTGCTGTCAGAGAAGTATCAGAAGCAACCCGCATGGTGCATCGCCCAACATAGTGAGCCATCTCCAGTGCATTTCATGGCTTCGCACCCGGCTGAACTGCTGGACCCATAATGAGCCCCCTCCACCTCTCCCCTCTCCCTCCACCACGACAAGATGAACGCACATTGGGGGAGATATTATTATAACCTAAGTGTATTTTCAAGACCAAGGGTGTTATAGTGTGTGGACAAGCGATCCTGCAACGCCCCATTGCACTGCGGCGACGGGTTCTTCTGTGGGTTTTAGTAAGTAGGAGTCTCACGGCACCCGGCTTGTTGATGGCCGGCAGGGTGGATTGTGGATTTCCCCAGCGTCACGAAAAAAAAGTGTACTTCCAATTTTTCCAAAATATTTATTATCTATATTACTAGTCTCTCTTACAATTTCATAATACGTTTTTAACCTACATATGCGTGGAATATTCCCATTGATATTAAATTAAAAATTCTATTACGAAACAGATTTTGGGTCGAATCCAACTATAAAGTTCATTAAAATCAGCTGCGCGCTCCGGTCTCTTTCCTGGTTATCAGATATTATGAGATTTTCACACGCCAATGTCCATGCCACTTCACACTTGGCAAATGATGACATATTCCATTCTCAATGTAAACAAGATATTTATACCGAGCTTTTCTATTTAATTCTGAAGTCTCAACTGTCTGGATTTTTATTGTATTCTCATAGATATTTCAAAATTTCGTATCTAAAATAATTAAATAATAAATTAATTTAAATAATATATTAATAATTATTTAATAATAAAATTCTGTAAAAAGCAATTATGCTGTTTTTTTTATTATACCTACCTTTCTTTTATATTTTTATTTTTTAATCTTATTGACATTTTTATTTTTAGATGTATTTTTTTTATTATTGCTACACTTTATATTCGAGTAAAATAAATTTTTCAAGTGCCAAAGAAACGAACACTGTTGTCCTTTTAACGATATTCACAAAGAAATATAGAATATAAATAACAATTTATTAGGTATGTTATTATTTTTGTTTTTTTTTTATGAAACTTATGTTTAAATATAACAAATAATAAATGTAATCCTCACATATAATGTAAGCAATATTGAAATAAATATTTAAAAGGTATACCTAGTAACTAATACAATAATTTACTTTCAGAGAAAAATGCGTCACTGCCAAAGAAGACAAACATGGCCAAACTGAAATGAAAATACCCGATTTTATTAAGGAACTAAGTCTACATGATAATAATCCTGAAGACGAAGAACCTGACAATGATAAAAAGGAAGAGAATGGGAATAAGAAAGGTGAAAATAAAAAAGAAGAAGTAAATAAGAAAAAGGAAGTTGCCATAGAAGAAGAAAGAAATATATATGAAGTAGAAAATCTTTCTAAAACTATAGAATTTGAGCCAAAACAAGATATACATATACTTTCTCCACAAGCTGACGATGACGTTTATCTAGACTATGATCAAATGTATGACACTTCACCTGGAGAGTTCTTACATGAAGAAATTGAAAGAAATGAAGAATAATAACAAAAGTTGTTTATTTTTATAGAAATTTAAAACAAAATTTAGACTTCTTTTTTATATAAATTATGAATTTTATATTTTATAATATTTAACTACATATTTTTACTATTTTAAATATTTTATTTTGCATCATCGATTTTATTATTAAAATTACATAACAGCATGAATATTTTTTAAAATAAATAATAATTTTTAAATGTAATACCTTTTCCTAATTCATATTTTTGTATTTAACGCATGACCGTATTAGGTAAATGACAAATTACTGGTTTATCTGACATAGGTATAATATTATAATAAAATATTTAAGTACGTGACTACCTACTCGTATACAAATAATGCATAAGCATTACGTGTAGTTTAGGCCATTTTTGTACTAAATGTCGAAGCAAACATGTGCATGGTTCTCTTGACGAACTCGTCGGTACTGTTGCTATAGCTAAACCGTCTGCAACCTATACACCAATTTAACACAGCTTATAATTAAGCTTATCTGGTTTACGTTAAGGTTTATTTTTCTATGTATTTCATATTTCTTACAACTTCCAGTAACATATTTCTAAAGATGCAAATTTCTCAATTTATTGTATTCTAAGCTCTATTTCTACAGATTTAAAACCGATTTTATTTTTTTGTATTTAATTTATGTCATTATTTATATTGTGCAATTAACATATGTTTGTCTGTATGTTTGTTTAACATACTCAAGGTCTGAAAGTGATAACTCAGTTACAGCTATTGTGTGATTTCTCTCGGTCTTCACACTGATGCATTGCTAATTTAAAGAAGTCAAGTTCAATGTCAAAGTTATGCAGATTTTTTAATTTATTTCGACTGTAACATCGAATACAATATAACTCGATATGTTGTCATTAAGCTTTTCTACTGTAGGCGGTAATGACAACCATCTAAGGTAATAAGAGCGTGTCTAATAGTGAAAAAAAGTTAAAAGTCGAATAAGTAATAAATTCCTGATCAGTATCCATGTCAATTGCCAGCCTTTAGACTATTTCTATTTATTTTATTTTTTTTACGCTAGGGGATATCTACCCGCCCCTCTTTCCCCTGAAGAAGGACCACCTGAAGGTCGACCAGCATCGCCGTCACCACCACCGCCGCCACCACGTAAACAAAAACACTTTTTTAATATACATTCGCTCTGTCATGCTATTTTATTCGGTTTGTCTTTGGTTAATATATTATAACTAGCGGCTCACCCTCGCTTCGCTACGGTTAGTATGGTATAGATAGATTATATATCATACGATATAGCCTATAGCCTTCCTCAATAAACGGACTATCTAATGCAAAAAGAATTTTTCATATCAGATTAGTAGTTCCTGAGATTAGCGCGTTTAAAAACACAAACAACTCTGCCTGTTTATAATATTCGTATAGATATAATGAATTATGAATAGATGTATAAGTTTTTCTTGTATAAAATAAATATTCGTATTTTATTTGTGTATCCCTATAATAACTGGCTGGCTACATCCTTAACGTACAGAAAAAAGTAAGAAAATCTATTTTTCATTTACAGAGCCCAAAAAGTCATCTTGAAATATGGGTGACGTGGTTTGTGTCTACAGGATTTATTTTCTTCTTATAAAAGATTGATGAGGAAGGAAAATTCAATATGAATGCACACGAGTATTATACAGTACCTAGTGCAGCGTAGCTTACCAAATGAACATAATAAAGGCACAACTCATTCGACAATATATGCAGCATAAAAATATTTATTACAAATTGTAGTTTTATTTTATTATATGTTTATATATTCTTTTTTTATTATTCTTGAGTTTATTTAGTACATATTTTTTTAAATGCTGTAATTTTCAAAAACGAATTAGAGACGATGCATGAAGTTTATATTGCAGCGAATAAAGACATAAAAAAGGGCTTTCGCTACAAAAGGTCAAGGTAAACAACGCTGCAACTGGAAAACTATTCAAATGATTAAACTTATTTTTTACCCGACTGCCAAGGAAGGGTTATGTTTTTCGCGCATATCTTGTATGTATGTATGTTTCTATTTTTGTAATTTATTACCAAATCTTCCAAAGGGCTGGATGGATTCCGGCAGTTAAGGTATCGTTTCGTCTAAAAACCCAAGTGTCCCATAGGTGTTTAAAAAAAAATGTAAATAGTGAATTCTAGGCGCTAATTTGTGTCTTGAAACTATTTTTTCATCCAAATCAGTCGAGTGGGGAACCAATGTACCAAACCCAATACACGTTTTTAAGACGCGATTATAAAAATATACATATATACAACATATATGAATAAAAAAAAACTAACTTCTAGGCACTAAAATGTAAAAAATAACTATACCGGGATTTTCATTTCAGACATTCGACCTCTACAGTTTTATTCTACCTATGTATACATTTGCTTTGCATCGGCTAGCACCGACTTCGATTAGATACCTATTCTTAATGAGAAGCCCCATTTAATTATTTTTTACAGTTTAGTGCCTGGAAGTCGGTTTTTTAAGTTTTTATTTTCCATTTTTAGTGTAGACGTAATAAGCAGGTAATTAGTAAGATTTTTTTTTAATAACATATTCGATTAAGCAATTTATTTAAAACAATAATTTATTTGTTGATTTTTTAAAAAACCGCTCGACCGATTTCGATAAAATTTAAAAGGGACCACCTGGGAAGTATATATACCCTTCGAAACCAAAAAAATATTTTCAAAATCGGCTCAGGTGTCTTCGAGTAATCGGTGAACATACATAAAAAAAAAGATTCCGACGAATTGAGAACCTCCTTTTTGGATGTCGGGTAAAAAGTAATTTAGGATAAGAGATGGTTCAATAAAACTAAAAAGCTGTAATTATAACACAAAATTCTAAAAAAATGAGGACTTTATAGTTTTTCTTTGTCAGTGGTTCTAATTTTTTAATCTAAGTGGTGCTGGAGAAGACTGAAGAACACAGTCTCAAAAAACTTGGTTTTGGTACCATTCCCAAAATATATTTTTTAGATATACCTACTCATTGTACATTAATCATATTTAAATATTCTATTCCACTATCTTTTTGTTAAATGGTTCTATCAATCGTTTAAGGTAGAAAAAAATCATTATTTTATAAAAATTTATATCTTAAACCTATTGCAAGCTTGACTATGTACGCATGACAAGCACGTAGGTACTATCTGTTAATCTAATCAATAATAATCATATGTACTTTCTCACCGTAAAAAGACATTTTGGTTTATACTTTGATAGTAAACTATTCCAAATGTTCGCTTCGCTTTAACAAGATTAAGAATGGTGGATTTTTAATGCCGTGTCTGTGTGTTTATTTTACTTTTCAGCGGAACTTTAATCTGAACGGAATATAATATGGTGTAGAAATATAATATATTTTAGAGATAGGCTATTTTTATAATATTACAATATTTACAAGTACGAAAATTCCACGCTCATGAAATTCTGGAGGAATTCAAGAGGAAAGGCAGGAGTTTTACTTGTCTTAAATCGGCAAAAATGAAGCATATATCTATTTACAGAAAGTATGCTTATAATAACTATTCTTCAGGGTTTCGGACCTAGAGAATCCAATCAGACTTCTATTAGGTAACCATGGTATGCCACTGTATAACTAGCGTTTTTGGGCCCCAATACAAAAAAAATGGAAGTGCCTTTAATGTGAACTGCAGTGTTGAACGAGGAGTCGGCTAGAAGGCAGTAGAAAATATACACAAGACAGTTTTCGAACTTCTCAATTTTTTCAAACCGCTTCCACGGATGAACGGGTAGAGTAAAATTTCATAAAAAAGCTGAGATTAGAGGACCACTCATCGTTTTATAGAACACTAGCGGACCCGACAGACGTTGTCCTGTCTACACGTCTTTAATTTGAAAATTTCAAACTTTTTTAAATAATTTTTTGGATGAAAATTATTATTCAAATTGTGAATCTAAACCATTCCCAGATCACCTTGAACACACACAAAAAATTTCATCAAAATCGGTCCAGTCGTTTGAGAGAAGTTCAGTGACATACACACTCACAGAAGAATTATATATATAAAGATATGTATAATCACATTCCTCGTGATCCTTGTAAAAAATAATATGCGGAAATGAAAAATAGGACACTTTTTTCTTGTTATTTAAACCTCTATGAAGGCCGTCGTCGAAAAAATGTTTTGAAATAAAAGAATCACTTGTGGCCCGCTGGGGACCCCTTGAATTAGGGTCCCCATGCGACCGCATTGGTTGCATTGGCATAGTTACGTCAGTGCCTATAACTATGCATTTACGAATATTCTACAGTTAAAGAGCTCTGTCGTTTGAAGTAATAGGCGGACGTGTATTGCGTGAATAGCAAAATTCACGGAGTATCCACCGTAACCACGTAACCAACAAAATCGCGAGTAAAATTACGACTTGCAATGGCTATTGTAAGTCAAAACTATGAACGATTAGGATTAACGACTTCAATTATCGCACATAGGTTTTTCTTCTTCTTCTTCTGGCCTGTTACCATCTTTATTTGGGATCGGCTCTCCTTATCATTTTTCTCCAAACATGTCTTTCCTGGGTCAACATTGGTATCAATAGGTTTTTATGGTATATTAATTGGATTTGAGGTTAGGTTAGTTGGCTTTATCTTACTTATTGCCTCAAAAGTATTTAGCCCTTCTAATTATTGATATATTGTTTAATAAAATTAAAACAAAAACAAGTTTTTTTGTACAATGTTTTAAAATCGAAACAGTTATGAGGAATAACCTAATATGTGCTATGTATGTTACAAGTACTAAGTCCGACGACACGCTATTTTTATCTTATTTGTGTATCTTCTCTGTAAGTTAATTTTGTACTCTTTTGAAAAAATAAATATCTTATAATTTATACTGGGTATATCAATTAATTCCAATAATAATTGAGTAGCATTTTGAAAGTTTCCCAAAATGATATATCTATAAGTACATATAATAAAATTCTAACTGAGTCGAATCTGTACATTAAATATTTTT